AGATCACCACAGTACCAATGTCCTCTGCACCACCAGTGCCGCCTATATCAGTTGCCCCTCCGCTAACAATGGTGGAAGAGCTTATGGTCACATTGGTACCGATCACGCCGCTCGCCATTTGGTACCTACGGTACACCTGCATCCAGCAAATTCATGTTATCCACTCCAACCCGCTCAGCACCGCCTCTGTCCAGCAATGAGGATGACGAACCAATCAGTGGAAGCCATACTCCAAGGCATTCTTCACCTAAACAACTACAGCGCCAACAGATGCATCCACCAGCGCCGCAATGGCAGATACCTCAGTGGCTCCCACCACCTCCATCCATGCCACCAAATTGGACATATTGGGCCCCTTATAGGAGTCAACAGCCACAGATTGTGCAGCCTCAAATAGCCATAACTGCCATCAAGCATGGGCTCCCTTCCATCAATGGACACCTCTCGTTATGAAGAGGACGTAGCCCTCTCCCCAGCCCCCTCAACCGACGATGAGTCCACGGTCTCTTCTCATCCACCCGTGTATATTTCGTCTTCCTCTCCTGATGCCCCCCCTTCCTGACAGTGGGGGATAACTTCAGATCCTTTCAGGAACTGTACAGAAGGGTAGCGGACACTAGGGCTACGTCTACACTGCAGGCTTCTTGCACAAGAACTGTTTTGCAGAAGAGTTACATCTCTCCGGGTTCCCACACGAGATCCAGGCCACAGTCAAAGACCTTCCCTTTCAGGGTCAAAACTCTTCGCTGACATGACGGACGCCTCCCTTCACCCTCTGAAGGACTCCGATACTACCTTGAAAACACCGGGCATCCACGGTCCTGCATTAAAGCGTAAGCAAGGCAGGAATTTCACTCAAAAGTATAGACCAGCATCATTCTCCCAGCCTCAGAGACAGTTCGACAATAGAAGGAGGCGATAGACAAGGAGGAAATAAACCTCGGACCAAACCTCCACCTCCCAATTGACTACCTTGAGGCAAACCTTTTGAGCCTTATGTCGAGAGTCTGGTGACACCTTCTTGTTCAAGGCAACTACATCCTTTCCGCCTATTCTGGCAACGTCCATCACCCTTCTTTCCCCAACGGTCAACCATCACGACTGACAGATGAGTCCTGGACATTATAAAGAATGGGTATTATATCCCTTTCTCTTCTATCCCATCCGCCCTCACCCCCCACCTTCCCTGTCCCTCTTCAGGGACCCATCTCGCGAAGCCATCCTTCAAGAGGTCAAACACCTAACTCCATCTCGGAGCAGTGGAACAGGTACCACAACGATATGAGGGAAAGGGATTCTACTCCCACTATTTCCTGACCCAAAAATAAGTCAGGGGGATGGAAACCTATTTTCTATCTTAGGAGACTTAACAAACACATGATTGCTATGGTTCAAAATGGTCACCCTATCCACAATAATCCCCGCCGTGAACAAAGACAATTGGTTATCGACTCTCCAACTTCAGGAAGCATATTTTCACATTTCCATCCATCCAGCACTTCGCAAATACCGCAGGTTGACAGTCACCAGAAAGCATTACCAGTACACGGTCCTCCCCTTCAGTTTTTCTACAGCCCCAAGGGTGTTCTCAAAGGTACTATCAGTCGTTGCTGCTCAACTATGCAGGCAAGGAGTCTCCATATTCCCATATCTGGACGACTGCCTCATAAGAGCAACTACAACCTCGGATACACAGAAGGCAATCTCCCTCACTAGATCTCTTTTTCACACTCTGGAATTACAGATAAACTTTGCCAAATGCAAACTCCAACCATCACAAACAATGGAGTTCATCAGAGCCCACTTCAGCTGCGTGAGGGCCATAGCATCCTTGCGCTCAACAGATTTCATGCTATCAGGGACCTCATAATGATAATACAGGACACTCCAAACACTACAGTGAGAATTCATTTACAACTACTGGGTCACATAGCTGCAGCACCCTCAGTGGTTTTGCATGGCAGGTTGTACATGTGATCAATGCAGCATTGGCTCCAGACAGTATTCAACCCACGGTACAACTCAGTCACCAAAAAGGTGTCCGTCCCAACCAAGGTCAAGCATTCCCGCCACTGGTGGACAGACCAAAGAAATGTGTGCACTGGTGTCCCTTTTTGCAAACGTATCCAGTCCATGACAATTACGACAGATGCATCCCTCCTTGGGTGGGGAGCTCATCTAGGACACTTCACTACCTAAGGCCAATGGTCAAGCAGGAATCCAGCCTACACATAAATGTTGTGGCACTTATGGCACTATTTTATGCATGTCGACACTTCCTACATCAAATACAGAATTGCACAGTTCAGATTTTCATGGACAATCAAACAACAACTTTTTACATCAACAGATAAGGGGGCACCAGATCTTTCCTGTTATGCAGAGAAGCAGTCCGCCTTTGGACATGGTACACAGTGCAGGACATATACTTACAGGCCTCATACCTCCCGGGCAAAGACAAACTTAAAGACAATCTAATGGCTAACAGCCTCCACAGGAACTTCAGATCTGACCACGAATGGGAAATCGACCCATTGATCATACATCGCCTCTTCATGCGCTGAGGATTTCCCGACGTGGACCTGTTTGCAACCAATGCCAACAAGAAGTGTCCACATTACTGTTCTCTTGCGGACATTGGCAGGCACTCCCTGGGGGACACGTTTGCAATATGATGGAACACAATGCTCTTACATGCTTAGCCACCCATCCCCTGAGTGGTCAACAAAATAAGAATGGAATTATCCACAGTGATTCTTATCGCCCCAGACTGGCCGAGACAGACTTGATACACTTACCTTACTCAGATGTCTACAAAATAGCCATGGTGCCTCCCACTTCTTCCTTATCTCCTAACCCAGGAGAAGGGGACCCTGTACCATCCCAACCTACAGTCACTCCATCTTCACATTTGGTCCTCAATGGTTCACCTTGTTAGAGATAACTTGCTCAGAACAAGTACAACAAATCTTACTCAACAGTTGCAGAACATCAGCCAGAAAATCCTACCTTTACAAATGGCACAGGTTTGTGATATGGACAGAATGCAGAAATTTGGAATCAACCACAGTTCCTCTCAGCATTGTTCTGCAATATATACTAGAGCTGAAAGACTCAGGACTATCACTCAGCTCTCGTAGGCTATGTCTACATTGGCATTAAAGTATTTGTGCAAGACAGTGTCTACACTGGCATGTGCTTTTGCACAAGAGATGTACTTTTGCGCAAAAGCATCCGTGCCAGTGTAGACATTCTCTTGTGCAAGAAAGTTCCGATGGCCATTTTAGCCATCAGGCTTTCTTGTGCAAGAAATTCATGTTGCCTGTCTACACTGGCCTCTTGTGCAAGAACAGTTGCGCAAGAGGGCTTATTCCTGAGTGAGAGCATCAGAGTTCTTGCGCAAGAAGCACTGATTTCACACATTAGAACGTCAGTGTACTTGCGCAAGAACTCCCCGCCAGTGTAGACAGGCAGCATGTTTTTGCACAAAAGTGGGTGCTTTTGTGCAAAATCATGCCAATGTAGACACAGCCCTGAGGTTCATCTTGCTGCCATAACAGCTCTTCACCAATCAACAATAAATCAGTTTTTGCTCACTCCATGACCAAACGGTTTTTGAGAGGCATACAGAATACTTACCCTCCTCCCAAGCCCCCCACACTCCTGAGACCTGAACCTGGTTTTACAGGCTCTCACTACGAAACCATTCGAGCCTCTGGCAACATGTTCCATGCTCCATCTCTCCATGAAAGTTGCCCTGCTCATAGCACTGACATCAACCAGGAGAGTCAGTGAAATTGGCGCTCTCATGTCAGACCCTCCATTCACCATATTTCAAAAGCACAAAGTAGTTCTCTGTCCCCACCTGAAGTTCCGCCCGAAAGTCTCCTCACACTTCCGCTGTAACGAGCCTATAAACTTACCTATATTTTTCCCAAAACCTCACACTAGTGCCAGTGAGGCTGTATTACACGCACTTGATGCAAGAAGCACGATTGACTTCTACTTAGACAGAACTAAGCAATTTCATAAAACAAATAGACTGTTCATCTTCACCATGGAGAGATTGCTCAGCATGCCATTCTCCACTCAGAGGATTTCCCAGTGGATAGTGGAATGCATTAGCCTAGCTTACACTACTAACGGACAGTCACCTCCTTTCCAAATCAAGGCCCACTCAACTAGGGCTACCTCAACTACCACGGCCTACATTCATGGCATCCCCCTCGTGGACATTTGCAGGGTGGCTACATGGTCCTCCACCCACACATTTGCAATGCATTATACTCTGAACAGTCACCCCTCTAGGGGTACTCATTTCAGTCATACTGTCCTCCATACAGTACAAAATACTGCCTAACAGAAGCGCCTGCCTCCTTCACAGATATGGCTAATAAAGTGGAGCACCCACAGGGACACTCCTCAAAGAGGAAGAGAGGGTTACTCACCTGGTGCAGTAACTGAGGTTCTACAAGATGCTTGTCCCTGTGGGTGCTCCAGCACCCTCCCTTCCTCCCCTCTACTTCGGTGGGCCGCATTCTCCTTCTGGAGCAGAGAAGGAACTGAAGGGACAGTTGCTGCGTATGTGTGGTAGAGGCACTGTGCATGCCGTCTGTTTCGCGTGTGCAGCACGTCGGAGAGCACGGCTACCAAAAATCTCCAACGAGGTGCACAGAGGTGCCCAAGACACCTAAGGTGGAGCATCCACAGGGACAACCATCTCGAAGAACCTCAATTACTGCACCAGGTGAGTAACTCTCTCTACTTCAATTTCAGCAACACAATTAACATAGCTGAAGTTGCGTATCTTAATTTGACTTTGTCCTGAACTGTAGACGTACCCAAATTTACCCCCATGGTCTCAAGCGAGTCACTGACAGAATTAGGAATATAACTTAACTGACTGCTGGGAACAACATAGCTCAACCATGTAAAAAAGAGATGCTGACTGTCAGCTATATGGCTGTGTGTTCTAACCAAGTTCTGTTTTATATTTACAGCTACTTGAAACCAGACGAGGACAAGAAATCAAAGCACAAGACAGCAGTGAAAAAGAAAACACTAAACCCTGAATTCAATGAGGTACTTTGGCACATACTATATCTGAATGCTACTAAAATGGTGCACAAGTAAACCGACATTCTACAGTAAACTTCCGATAATCCAGCACCTTTAGGACCCAGGGGGTGCCGGATTATGAGATATGCCGGACTATCAGAGGGGGGGGGCCTATGAGGGGTCTGGAGTGGGGTGGGAGGGGATGCCACCCCAGGCCCCTCATAACCCCCCCTTACAATAGTCCGGCTTTGCCCCAGGCGTCCCGGATTCAGCCGTTGCTGGTCAGTTTCAGCAGCGGCTGAATCGGGGATGCCTGGGGCAGAGCAGCTGGGGTGCTGCCGGGTTGGTCCCGTAGCGCCGAGGGGCGGCGCTATGGGACCAACCCGGCAGCACTACAGCTGCTCTGCCCCAGGCGTCCCCAAGAGCAGCTGGGGTGCTGCTGGGGTGGTGCTGCACACC